CCTTTTGTATCCCCTACAATAATCATTTCAAGCAGATCGTAATACTATTATTATTAAACCTTTTGTATTCCCCACAATAATCATTTCAAGCAGGTCTTAATACTGTAATCAAAAAGTATCCGATCTTTATTTTTTTTAAATCGCGGGAAAACTGTAAATCAAATCCATTTGCTTTCTTAAGTTGATACACATGTGCTTCATATTTGGTGAAAAATAATGGCGTTACTTCAAGCCGTTTAAGAGTGGTAGTTATTTATGTCAGTAAAGATTTTTGTGCGTGGCGATTTTTACGATGTCGAAAAATACGGAGCAAGGAATTTGTTTGAAATTTTGTGTTGCAAACGAAATTTCGTTCACAAACGCATTCAAAATGTTGCAAAAAGCTTATGGCGATGATTATTTATCGGAAATCAAGTACGTTTGAATGGTTTAAGAAATTTCCAAAAGGTCAAGAATCTGTTGAAGACGATCCACGCTCTGGAAGAATATCAACGTCAACGGATGACACTCACGTCGAGAAAGTGAAAGAATTGGTGCTCGAAAATCGTTGATTGACTGTGCGAGAGATAGCAGAGAAGTTAGAATATCATTTGGATCGTATCGGCACATTTTGTCCAATAAACTACTCAACATGAAACGGGTCGCATCGCGCTTGATTCCGAAAAAATCTGAATTTTCTCCAAAAAGAGAATCGAGTGTTGGTGTCGTCTGAGATGATTTCTATGGTATCCAGAGACAGCACTGCGACCATATTTCTGATACGGATCTATCCGAATTGCTGGTGCAAAAACCGCCAGGCGAAACCCAAAACGCGAGAGCGACTGCTCGATACAAATGAGGACGAAACGAATGGGCACCAGGTGCAGACTTGCCGCACCCACAAAAAGAGTGATGATCGACGAAGCCTCCACGGGCTTCGGATCCAATACATCTCTTCTCGCGATCTAGGTTCATCCCAATCGATAGCTCACGTTTAGATTGAGTCAGAAGCAGGATGGTTCGCTAGGTCACGTCGAAATGGGGAGCGAAAGCACAAGATCAATGGTTAAGATAAATCAGTGGTTGTCTTTATTGATTCAGGCTTTCGCGATAACAAAATGCGCTAAACGGTAGCGCCTCGATTTACAAAGTTTAAGTTCTCGCTGCGACAACCACATGCGCTGGACTCGTGGTGTCCGGTAAGGTAACCAAATATTCGAGCAGCAGCCAAGCCAAGGTAGAGAGGACGGCACAAGACAGTACACCCGCGGGAGGAGATCCTCCGCCATGACTCCGATGCAACCACCGACGGATATTATTTAGGCTGGTGCAATCGCCACTTCCCCCAAGTCCGTCGGAGAGGAGGCTGCACGGGAATCGACCGTACAGATGATCCACGCGATAGATTTTATTAAGATGCGGATGGGCGGTCTTATAAAATGTGGGGCTCCTGGCGACTGGCTTTTCTGGGACTGCTCCAGTAAAGCGTCGTCCACTATGGCTGACTATCCTCCCTCCCTTTTTCTCTCTCCTTATCTCGCTCGCTCCCCCTGGCTCTCTCTGTCTCGCTTCCAATCTCGCTTGTTATCGCTCTCGCTCACGCTGACTAGTGTCTACTAGTGTCACCCAAAAACTCGTACTCCGCACGAAAAAAAAAGCGGAAAAGCTTCTCCAGTCGGCGGATTCGCAGGTCTTAAGCGGGTGTCTCTTTTTTCGGTGTTCTCCAATATCGCCCTTTTCTGGCCGCGGGATTTTTGCCGACGGCGGCCGATCGACTTCCTCGGTCTGCCGTCTCACCTCCTGCCTCGATAGCTCGGTCCGACATCGAGACTCCAGCTTGTTGTTCGCGCTGTCTTTAGACGCGTCCTCTGCTCGCCGGCTCTACCGCTGGGAACGGCGAAATACGACACCCTAGGCGGTGTCGATAGCAAGGTTCCGATAGCAATAAAAAAAAAGAGTAAAGAAGATCACCTAGTGTCGGCCCTCGTTGTTGGGCTGCCGCCACTCCTCT